TTTTTTTGGTTTTCTGCGCTCTCCCAGAGGACTCCAAATCCGGGCTCATTTCGATTTTTGCGACTTGGCTGTCAAGGGGGGGGGAGGGGGGTATAAATTGGTTTTAAAGGGGCTAAAGGGGTCTAAAGGGGGGTGCCTTTGTGTGATTCTGTTATTTTCTTTTTTATCTCCGATTCTGTGAGGAATTATAATGTGACCCTCAGCCAAAAGTGGTTTGCATTTCAATCCTGCACAACATATTGTTTTTCCGGAGTGTTTTTTTTTTTTTTTTTTTTGGCGCTGGGGCTGCCCGGAACCCTGCCCGGGGGTCATGCCCGGCCGGGCACCCGGGCGTGTACCCGGGCAGAAGTTGGGTGCCTGGGCGCCCGGGAAAACAGCCTAGGATAATACATCAAAATTTGTAATATTTTTTTATTAAAAAATCAGTAAAAAATAAAATATACAACTCCTCATAGATCTCGCACAACCACATACACACACACACACATGCACGTGCACACACATATAGCATCAGTTGCCACCTCCCAATTGAAAAACTGGGAACCTTTAAAAATAAATAAAATAAAACAATAATATATATAGATAGCATAAGTAATGAAATATAATAAATTGTGAGGATTGAGCCCTCAAGAAGGGGCCTTGCCATGATGAACATGTTCTGGGCTAAGGCCCCAGCAAGCCTAGTGCCCTCCCTAAGTGAAGGCGGGCCAGCAAAGCAACAAGAGCCCTCTGTGCAAACATTTCACGAAGTGGGGTCCATACAGTTGCAGCACGCCAGTTGGTTGGAGTGCACCGAGTCTCGGATCTCTGCAAATGAGGAAATCCCAGGGCCTCTGAGTTAGTTAGGCCCTGGGCACTTGAACGTGAGGCCGACAATGCATGCTGGGTAGAGAGGCCGAAAATGCCAAAGGGAAATTGGCCCACTATCTGAATCTGGCCGCAGGCCTCGACGAAAGAGGCGCAACTGCATCCCCCGGGCCTCAACTGCATCGGGCCTGGGTTCAGGCACTGGGGCCCAGACGCAGGCTGAAGGGAGGCCGCCT